CCGATCCGTGATCCGATCCGTGATCCGATCCGTGATCCGATCCGTGATCCGGTCCGTGATCCGATCCGTGATCCGATCCAGGTTTTGTCGACGCCGGGCTAAGAGCAAGCCTGCCTGTCTGGCAGCTAGGCACCATCTTGTTGAAAAGGTCCCTGGAGAAACGACGGAAATGTCGCGCAAACTCCCTTCCAAGGACTTCTAATTATTAACCTTTTTAAAATCAGAATCACCTTAAGAACAGAAATTCAGAATCGACTGAGACAAGATTGAATTTAAAATCGCTTGTTTTTCTTGAACGTCATTGTTAACAAATTATTTTAGCAATTGTTCCGTTAATATATGAACAATTAGCATTTGATTGACGTTTGATTTCGTAAATACCTTTTGATTGACATTTAGCCGCGTAACCGATACGGTCAATTNAATCTGTTTATCTGTTTCCTGACCTGGACAAACCGCAAAACAATCTGATTGGACATCGTCAAAGAAATCGAATGAAATGGTTCCGTAAAATACCAAGCAGACAATCTAACTGGGCTACGCCAATCGAATAATCTTGAATCCTGCAATAAATTATACGATTAGCGTAGCCCAGTTAGATTGTCTGCTTGGTTTTTTACGGAACTAGCAATGAGGATTTCCACCTACTCAAAGGGTGTCTATTTGCGATGTTTTGGTCTGACAAACAGGAAGGGATTTTTGCTGTGAAGGAAACAGAACATCGACAAACATATCTTTTGATTTCAATGGAGCATAGCCTCTTCCAGGCATTCAGTTGGTTTGGGCGCAGTGCGAAAAATGGCGGGCAAAAAAGTAGGGGAAAATCTCTCTCCTTGTTTTGTTCCCCCCTCCCCCTCTCAACACATTGAATGCCTGGAAGGATAGCTGGAGGTTTCCCACCAAAGCGAGCAGAAGCGCGCGACTTAAAATATGTGACGTTAAACAAAGAGTTTCGCACGTATGGAGTCCGTCTGCGTATTCAAATTTGAATGCTATTATAAACTTTAATTAAAATGTTAAATGGAGTGAGATGCCGAATTCGTTTAATTGCACCAGTGGCACAAGCTATCGTCTTAGTGATATTTTATGTTAAAGTATGCAAGACGCGCTTGTCATGTTGCCGACTGCATATGGGAAGAGTTAAGTATTACAAACGTATGTGATTGCAAGCGGGCAACGAAACAACACGAAGGCGTTTGCCCGTTTACCAGCATCATACGAGACTAACTGCCAAAGCAAGCTCAGTTCGAATCAAGTGTGTGTCGTTGCTAAACATAAACTTAATCAAAGATCTATTGTTGATTTTCAGTACTTACACATTTTATTTTAACCTTAAACTTGACATGACAATGACGTTAATGTTCCGTCAAGGTGGAAACGTCTTGATCAGTTCCCGCCCGATCGCTTACCTCTTCGTCGCTCGCGCGCACGTGACTCACACATGACCCTGCTCGCAGGCTTCACCAAAGCGAGTTCGAACCCACTGACCCACATCAACTGTACAAGTGTCAAGTGGTTAAAATCTATCTTTCTCTTATCCAGCAAAAAAGACAACATTGTGGGCATAATGAAACAATGTTACACGAAACATGTTTATTTCTCGTTTCTTTCTTTAATTCATTGAAGCTGAAGGCGAACTCGAAATACATATTTTTTATGCAGGATGACCATTTCAGTTATAAAAACCGCTATCAACATGGGTCCTGTGTAAAATAAATAAATAACTAAATAATAAAATAAAATAAAATAAAACATGCAAAAATTTAAAAAGCTATATAAAAATCAAAAACTATACATATAAAGAGAGTTAAAAAGACTAGCCTGCTTGGCAAGCGTTCTCGACTTTAGATCAATTTGCATGTTTTTGATAGTTTCACCAGCCGGCTCTTGGGCACTACATCGTTATAATTAAATCCGTCAAAATTGACTTTTGAATACCAAAGTCCGATGGCTTCCAAAAGTTTTGCAACTACCACACCAATTCGCTGATAATGCATTACAATGTAAATTAACGTTATATCTTTTCCTTTTTTTCAGAAGCAAACAGAGTTTGTTTTCATTTTCCAGCCTTATAATCGAGTTAGAAATAAAATGGAACGTCAAGTAAATAACAACAGCAATTTTATTACAATATATAGCATCAAATATTTACAAGCACAGGAAACGAAGGTAAACTTTTATTTAGATGTTGGCGAATTGACCAGTAGGACGTTGGCGAAACGACTTAGTACGTTAGCGAATCGACCGAAGACGTTGGCGAACGAGACGTTGGCGAAACAACTCGTTAAGCGAAACGAATGGATACCGTTCAGCGAGGCGAACTCGGTGGGTGATCGTGGGCGCGAGCTGATTGGCTGCAAAACAGGCAACGTAACATAGGTGTTTTCATATCGGGGGCCAGTTGTCTGAAGATCGGGGGCGAGTTGTCTGGGGTTAATTGTCCAGGGGGCGACTTTTCTGACATTATCGCGCACAGAGCTTTAACCTTCAAACGGAAAATATAAAAAAACAAAAACAAAAAATAAAGCTTCTTCTGTCTGTTGTTTAAATAATTTTCACAAATTATTTTCAAGGCATACCTTCCAGCGAACGAGTAAGTGAAACAATTGAAAATCAACCCAAAATCTCGCAAGGCTTTATTTAACGGAACAGTCAAAAAACTCTGAACCACACACATCGTATAGTACATTTGATCTTTATAGTGTATTTACAAGCACATAATGTATGATATTTACAAACTACTTTCACGTTGTGCTGTCTCTTCTGCAAAACACTGACAGTCACACTACCAAACACTGTTCGGCTAGTCTAGACAGCGTCACAAACGAGTACAATAAAACATAATTGACAAGACTTTAAAATGTCATCCTCGATAAGCCGCAAATATTTACATTGACTATGACGAAAACGAGTGGCGAACAAAGTCCCTGAGTGTTACGAGTATGTGGGTGGCTGAGGAGCTATCGGGGGAATGGGTTCAGTAGCTCGAAGCGGTCTGATAACGGGCGACGAACGGGTTAGGAGATCGCTAATGACCCGTCCCGCGGGACGGGTGTTATCGAGCGGCTGTAGACACGCTGTGGAGGGTGTCTTCTCTGCACGACGAGGGATCTGAAGATAACAAGACAACATAATTCAATAAAAAAAGAAGTATGGCATAACTCAGGTAGATATCCATCAAACATTTCTGGCTTGCATTTCTATTTGCTGTATTGCATATTTTTTGCTGTTTGATAGAACGGTCGGTAGCCTATGCTAAAACTGATTAGAAACCTCGCTGTTGGTTTCTACAACTTTTGATAGTCAGTTCTTGCCTTTACCCATAACCTCCATTTTTATACATAACTTGTAATTAGGCATTTTTTGCCTTCTTGTTACGGTTAACTATGTATAGCTTTTTGTCGTTCAATATGTATTCTGAAAAATATTCCTGTAAATTATTTTCATGTCAAATGGATGATATAATGCTTTTATTAACCTGTCTTGGTCCACGCCTGATTATATTTCCTTCTCGCACAAGCACACCAGCAGATATGTCCATAGTATCAACCTTGAGTTATTAAATAAACATAATAATGATTAATAAAATGTAAATAAACATGTTGCAATCAGAGTGAACTCTTCACGACACTGTGTGAAACCCACAGTTTACATATTTTAGTCCCAAAATTGAAATACAAACTCTCCTTAATTATTTCCATACATCTCTTTTAATGCTACTTCTCAGGATTTTGAGGTACCTCAAGATCAAGCCCTGCATATATAGGGTTGCACTCTTGGCAAGACAGTGTACTTTCACTTAGAGAATGAACTGGTGTGATTTTCAGTGCACTGGTAGTCTGGATTGATAAGTCTGGGTCTGAGCCCTGGTCAGCTTCCATTGCATTCTCTCTACTCTGATAGTATCTCTCTCCACCCAGGTTTATTTATCTGAGCAATGGAAAATTAAATGTTGGAGTTAACCCTGCAGCAGACCAGCATTCTATCCAGGGAAAGGGAAGAAATACTCCTATTTGTAGGAGCCTAAATGCTGCAGGAATCATAAAGGTCAGCACACACGAAGGGACAAGTCCCTGCCACTAGTTCCTGCCACTAGTCCCCTGAACTGGTCACAGGGACTTGTTCCACAAGCAGTTCACATGAAGCGTTTAGTGGAGCAAGTTGCAGACACTTGTCCCAAAAATTCAAACTGGTTGAATTTGTGGGATTTTGAAGCAAAAATGGCCAGTTCACACGATGGGACTTGTCCCTGCCACTTGCTGCAGGGACTAGTTGCATGGACTGTTCCCCTCGTGTGTGATGAATTTAATAGGATCTGGCAATAGTGAAAACTTGGCCCAATGCCGACTTGAGCTTAGTTTCTCCTGCCAATTGCTAGGTGGAGATAATCAACACATAAAAGAAGAAAAGAGGAAGTTTATGCAGCCAGTCGTTTCAACACGAACAAGTTAGAAACTAAAGCTTACCAAGGGAGGTGGTAAGGGTGTTATGTGACCAGTATTTTCAATCTGATATGCGTTGTTATGTAAGAGGCTGGTATCAATACTCTGCCTGTGACTTGTACTTTTGGAGGCTTTCCACTCCTTCCCAGATTCTGCTTTTTTTGAGCTAGCTCCCAGTTTTCTGGGTCTCGAACGGGTGCGCATCAACTGTCCTTCGCCATCATCATCGACAACAGAAAACTTTGTTCGAACTCTGCAACCAAATAAGGGAAATAAGTGTATATCCCACAAGGATATTCAAAGATACAAACAGGAGAAAGGCATGAAAGAATTTTTATGCACTATGAAACTGGTGATTTTTGTAACTTGCAGCAGGATCTTTATGTTTTCTGATTTTTTTGTTTTTGGGGGGGGGGAGCATGAGAGGCAGGGGAGGGGTGACTAAAGTTTATGAGGCATATTTGGGGGTTAAATTTACTGTGACATCCTCCCGATGACTCAACTGTCTGTTCACTATTTCATCAGTCAGTCAGTCAATCAGTCAGGCAGTCAGGCAGTCAGGCAGTCAGGCAGTCAGGCAGTCAGGCAGTCAGGCAGTCAGGCAGTCAGTCAGTCAGTAATGCAGTCAGTCAGGCAGTGGGTCTGTCTGTCAGTCCATCGATATAACAGTCATTCATTGAGGCAGACAAGCAGCCTGTCAGTCAAGACCATCCTCTATCTGTCTGTCCATCAGTCAGGTAGTCACCTAATCAGTCAGTTGGTTAGTCAGTCAGTCAGTCAGTCAGTTGGTCAGTTGGTTGGTCATTCGGTCACTTTATCTTTCAGTTAGTCACACCATATTAAACCCAGACAGCTACCTGTGTGATGGAAGTTTATCAGGAGAAATCTTCATGACAGCTACTACATTTCCGCGCTCATCATACAGCACGTCCTTTATGCCTGGTGGTCGGCCATACTGGGCCTGTTGGCAAAAACATTGATAATACATATAAGTCTGACCTAACTTCTACACCTCCACTGTGAAATAGGACCATCAAAGGATCTTTATCATAACAGTGGTCATGATGAATTATGTGTTGTGTTGACATGAAGAGACCTGCAACAACGACAGAATGCAGAGACAAATTCCTTGTACGTAGTGTTCATTGAAGGAAACTTGTTGTTTACACATCTGTGAAGATTTCACATTGAGCCTGCAGTTTTATATATTAAAATATATATTATATTCTCAAACTCATCAATAATTCAAGTTAAAACAAAGAAAATCACAAGCGTGGAGGAGGTTTGGATACCCAGTCTTAATTAGCATAGATTTTGACAAATTTACTTCTCCAGTCACTCCTTAGAATTTGTTTTGATTGAGAAGATATGTCAAACACTTGTTGTTTGGGCATAATTATGCATGATTCTGAATGATTCCACACTAAGCTTACAGTTTTAAATTTTACAGTTATACCATAAACACTGGCGGATAAGCCCCACTCGCAGATAAGCCACACCCTGAGTTTGGCAACTCAAATTTCGGAAAAAAGGTTTTGGAAAGAAATCAAAATAATCAAAATAAACCTGGACACAAGTAGCTTTTGAAGCTTTCATGAGTTCAGCGATCAAAGCTCATTACGACAGTGTATAGAACAGCTTTCGAGCCAGAATGGAGATTTTCTGCTGCATGACGTTTAGCTGCTCTAAAATGGTGACCTTAAACTGGCCAAAAGATCTTTAACGAATGTTTAATGGTGTTTAACAGCAAGAAATGTAGGCTTATGCTTATGAACAAGAACGGCTAATTTAGGAGCCACCAAACCCTGTAAAAGCAATGATCAATGCGTATTTGGATATTATTAGTTTTCTGAAGTTCTTATTAGTTTGCTTTTAATACGAACTTGTAAATGTTCGAGAAAAAGTGTTAATTTATGCAAATTTATGGCATGTTGTCCAAATGTCCTCACAGATAAGCCACATCCCCAATTTTTATGGAAAATTGTGAGTAAAAAGAGTTTGATTTATCCTCTGGTGTTTACGGTAGGTTGGCTATAGTTAAATTTACTTGTCAGTTTGGAGCACTACAGACTACTAATACAATGTTTGATCAGTTCCTGCTATTTATAAATATTTTATTTTTTAATCCATCTGTATCAGAGGGTGTTTATATTTAATTCTAAAGCATCATTATTTTAAGGTTTACCTGTGATTTAGAGAAGTGACTAACACTCCAAGATTGAGAAGTCAAGTTAGTTGTTGATGCCCAGGAGTATTGCTCCCACCTACTGCTCTCAGAAGGAAGCTGTTTAGTTCAAAATCAAAATGGGGTCAACATTCAAATTCTCCCTACTGATCTCCATATATTTCACTATGTAATAGTTAGAAGAACTTGTTGAAAATATCAGCTGAAGGTTATGTAACTTTGGTGATTAATTTCTTAATCCTCACAAATTATTTTCAAAATATTTTAACAAATTGTAAGGAGAATATTGAGGCTGATATTAGGATAGAACTGCTCTAATTTTATTTCAATTATCAGCATTATGATAGAAACAGGAAGTCGATCGAAAGACATTTCAAAATATTCTGTTTTTGCATTTAATAATGGAATCAGAATTATTAATTCTAACTTTTTTCTTTCAAGTGGCATTTTTTCTCATGTTGCCCCAAGGGCGAGCACTTATTCGAGAGGAGCTTTACTTTATGAAAGACAAAGTAAAGTTTGTTCCTGAAGGCTTAAGGGATTGGTTACAAGTTTTGAATCTGCTTTAGCAAGTTTAAAATCTCTTTTCTCCTTACAGAGTCCTCTAAATTGCAAGAGCTTTATTACTGAAATTTTTCAGCTTAATAGTATCATACTTTTTAAACAGAACAATATTAAATGTTCATCATTTACAGGACTTAGACAACTTAATAAGGGCCACTGATTTGCATTTTCTTACAAATTTCTTCTATCTTTGAATCCTCCACAAGTCTGGGAGTCTAGCTTTTATGCATTTACAAAGTGCATCAGGGTGAATACTTTACCTTAACAATTGATGTAGAGGATGACAACATGGCCAGGCCATTAGTGTCTGTGTATTCCCTTGAACTCTCCTCTTGTTGCCTGTCAGCTTTGTTTAACACATAGTCATCTGTCAGAGGCGTTAGATCCACTCCAGAGAATGATGGTAGTTTGCCTTTGTGTGGTTTAAATGGGACACCAGTTCGTTTTTTACCTTTAACCTTTTGAAAGGTAAACAAGTTTTATTATTAACACTAGTGGCTAAAGTTTGGCAGTTAAAATTTGGGTGGCTGAATGGAACATCACTCAAAAAACTTTAAACAGCTAGTCAAATATATAACATAATGCAAGTCCAACATAATTACAATAATTTTCACCACATGTAGGCCTAAAAGTGGCATAATCGTACAGAACTCATGATATTAGGAAAGAATTTATACTTCATTTTCAGTCACAATTTTATTAATAGAGATAGTTCTTTTTTACATTTTGATTATCACCAAAACATGCATTATCTGTGATTACCAACAAAGAGCTGAAATGATAACAGAGTCAGTCAAATTCATTTCATGGAGTTTCAAACTTTGAGTAGAACATATGAGTGAAAGTGAGATGATTTCACCTGTGCAATTGAAGTCTCCTTAGGTTTGTCCCTGTTATTCTCCTCGGCAGCAGTAGGTGGAGGTTGAGCAGGACTGCTAATTGACATAGGAGTGGTGGACACTTCAAGGGCCTCAAATGGTGGTTCAGGGGCCCTAAGACCAACAACAACAAAAAGACATTGCAAACAACATACTAACACACACAATATTAATGCTGCCAGAATTTAAAAAACTGGCATCTACATCAAATTATTAATCGATCTGGTTTAAGGAGACTGGCAACAGTTGCCAGCGCATTTCTAACAGCTATACTTCGAAGGATGAATACTGCCACTGTTTAACTAATTAATTAATTACTTAATTGGCCACTCCCAATTGGCACCTTTCAGGACTGATGTAAACAAACAATGATAAATAAATATTCAAATACACATAACTAGGTTAAGAATCCCAACTGGCGGGAGGCAGACCAGTTAGCTATTTATGCCTAAAGGTGGCATAATAGTACAGAACTCGTGTACTCAGTATTAGGAAAGAATTTATACTTCATTTTCAGTCACAAGATAATTAATAGAGATAGTTCTTTTTCATACTCAGTTTAACAAGTGATGCGACAATAATGGTGACATACAAATGTCCAATCATTGGTAAACAAGTTGCAATCATCTATTTTACATAACAGGATACCATAGCAACAATATGGCCTGCTAAAAACACCCTTAAGTTTAGCTTTAAGCACCTATAACTGAAAAAGGAGCTCAGTGACCCCTATTTCTATTATTGAATTGTGATAAGCATGATAAGATGCAGCATTTTGCAAAGTTAAGAAAAATTTTGTGGAGTGCGTTCAGAGCCACTTTGAATTTTCAAAAATTTCAGGTGGCTCTGAACCCACCTCACAGAATTTTTTTAAACTTTGCCAAAAGTTGCATCTTATCACGCTTATCGCAGTTTGATAAAAATAGCTGTCATCAAGCTCGTTTTCTGAATTATAAGCAATTAAAGCTAAAATTAAAGGTGTTTTGAGCAGGTCATATTGCTGCTATGGTAACCTTTTGTGCCACAATATTGACAGCATCCTGTTCACCAATGATTGGGCAGTTTTTTGATAAAATGATTTTGGCATCAACCAATATAGAGTGGTTATAGTGACCCATTAAAGTCTACGTCTTGGAAAGTGCTGGAAACTGTTTCGAGCCATGTTAAGTCTTCTTTTCCAGCCCTAGGGATAAGAAAAACCAGATGGCTGAAAAAAAAGTTGACTCCAGGTTCTGCAGGGCTCCACTTTTCATGAAACAACCTTGAGATCTGCTGGCCCACACACTAGTTGCTTATACAAGTTAAGCAACATAATTTGTGGAGATAAGTTCTCAAATTTTCTTAGTTATGCAATGTCTTAAGGCGTAACCACTTGTCTGTGACAGTTAGTTAAAAGCAGACAAAAAGGGCACAGAATTCTTCTCCGAAATTTGAATTTGAAGTTTTTTTTTTTCAACAAAATTAACTTACGCTGGCCTTTCTTCAGCAATGGATGACAGCTCAGACTCTTGATCTGATTGGACAGAAGATGTTGATGATGCTGACGATGGTCGCAACAAGATGGGAACTGATCCCTGAGCCCAAGAGTCAGTGATGGGTGTGACAGGTTCTGAATGAGATTCAAGACAAGTGTTGTTAGAACTTGGACATTGTGCAAACACAAATAAATGCACATTATTATATTGAGACTCAAAATCTTGTAAACTCACAAGTAAAATAACTGGTAGAAATGGCAGTAGTAATACTGATTAAAATAATTTCCACCATATACTGGTATCTCCATTTTCCATGCAGAAATATACATGTATATAAAATTTTATTGTCATAATTTAAAAAAGCATGTGAATATGTGAACAAAATAATAAGAAAAAAAATTGTAATTGTTTTTCTACCATCTTCTTCCAACCATGTTGAATCACATGCAGGGTTGTCCTCGCCTGCATCACAGGCTAAAAACTGCCACTGAAATATAACAGAAAATCACTCATTTACATGTACAGCGGAACCCTGCCTTACCGCAACCCTGTTAATACAGCCACCAAGTTATTATGGCCACTTATTCTGGCCTGAAGAAAAGCTCAGTCAGTCATTTTCTTATTTAAAGAACCCCTTTAATATAACCACCCTGTTAATATAGCGAAATAGGGCTTCCCTGTTTTTGTGGTCCAAAGAATTGGTGACTGGATTAAGTAGGTTCTACTGTAATTTGGTTGCTAAGATTAATGTTAGTTCTCTTTGCATGCGACATCATTACATCAACAGCTTGTGCTAATTCTGTTGAGTTCTAGAAACATGGCTTTAAACATGCACTTTCTGTTAGGGCTTTCTTTAAAAGTCAATTTTTAAAAATACTGTGTATCAAGGCCTTGGTGAGAAGCCTCCTCTGTTATTCCAACCTAAAATTTTGATCAAACAGGTGCAACTTCATCCAAGCATTTTTTCGATCCATGATGCTGTTTTGAGCTCATCTTTACTTGCACGATGTGATGGTGGAACGTGGAAGCAGAGAAAAAGAAAGAAGGAAGAACAGTGTGACTGGAATATTGCAAGAGCAATAACAAGGGACAGGTTGACTTGGAAACAGAACATCACAACCTTGCCTGTCTGTTAGCACAGAGTGAGATGATGATGATGATAACAATAATGAAGCCATTAACACAAACAGTCTACAAGGTGTGTATACCTCAATAATCTGTAGAAGCAGATTTTTGGTCTCTTGTATAGTGTACGGCAGTGTTTGACTGATAATGTACTGCTCATGGAGGACTTTCATGGTAGACTCCACTATTTCATTGACAATATCCAGTATAAACTCTTCGCCGTCTTCCTGGTCCACCATGTGATGCCTGAAGATTCATAAAAATATAGTATTGGCACACGATTGTGAACTTTTTCAGTCTGCAGAATGCAGATGTCACATATTTAAGTTATATGTGTAGCATATGCAGTGCGTATAGCACATTTAGAGATTAGTTGTCGACTACTAAACGTTAAATTTTTAGTTGTCAACAACTAAGCAGTTTCCCTTTTTGAAAAGACAAACTGCTTTAGTTGTCAACAACCAGCATTTGACCGTTTTTCCCACGTGGGAATCATTGGTTTAGCTGTTGACAACTATGGAAATATGAAACACATTTCAGCATGCATATTGTGTTTTGAACATGTATAGTGAACCTTATTTCCTAAGCTCTCGTTTGCCTGACTTAGGGCCTCTCCACATGAGCCAGGTAACAAGACTGCTTCAGCTACCGGGACAAATTTTGTTGTCTGTTCACATGGAAAATTTCAGCTTGGTCAACTGGGATGAAATTCAAGAAACAAAACCAAAATGGTGGGATATAAACCTGTATCGTTCACAACTGTTTTAGCTTCATGGACTCTTGTAACTTTACAAATAAGTCTAATTCGCATACACCTAAAGTGGAAATACATACAAGAAAAATTATGCCATTTTGGCCACTATGTTACAAAAGCGAAGCTATTTTGCCTAAAAAGTTTTGTCCCAGTCACCAGGGGTGAAGTGTTCATACGGGAAAATTTTCATCCCGGTTACCGATATCTGGGTACCCACACCAGTCCGGGTTCTCATATGAACACATCAAAATATTTACGTAGGAAAGAGTGGCAAGGCAAGATCTCGGAAACCGAGCCAGCCCGGTTGACTGTAGAGGCCCTTCGCTATCAACAACTAACACTCCAATGTGCGGAATGCTCCCATCAGACACAATTAGTTGTCGATAACAAATAGCTGTTGACACTAAATGTCTAATCTGTGGAGGCCCTTAAAACAGTTTGTCCAAACAGTCAGTAAGAACTTTGAACACATTTTATTGATGTATACACATGTACTTTTTCATGATCGAAATGACGAATTTTATACTTCATAGAAAGTCAATACAGTTTTTCACCCTTTACTTTGCCTCAGATTACAGGAACAGGCAAGTCGTACGTTGATACAAGAAGGAAGCTAAGATTAAACTTAAGACTTAATTAAAAGGGAACATGTATCCATGATTAACCAACCAAATTAGCGAGAAAACCATTGTTACTTCATAGCAATACATACCAGTCAGCTTCTGTAAATCTCCCAGGTATAATGTCATTGCTGGTAGGCGGTGGCGCCGATGTTTGAGCAGGAGTTTTCGTCTTATCTTGTCGACTTTTGTTGGACATGATGGCAAGAGACTACGATGTTATATTCGCGTTAAATCCACACAGCCATCGAAAAAAGAGAAGAAAGTTCCCCACGAGGTTTCTAGTTTTCTTTAGGCAGCTATTGAATGTTACAAGGGCATCGACTTCATGGATATTTTAAACGCAATCGTGAGTTTCCCGTAATTTTAATCAAAATGGCGGACTTCGTCTCGTTGATGCTTGTTGCTATGGCTGTTGTATGTCTTCTCGCCCCAGGCCCTTTTTTCTTCGAGGGACTGACAGCTTTATTTACCTCAACTATCAAAGACAATCAAGTTTTCCAGGTGTCTGCCGACACAGCAAAACTATTTTTTTCACGAACTAATAACTTTGGTTTGAATGGAGGGACCATAAACTTTTGACCTTGTCTGCTGAGATGGGGGCTTACTCTAGGAAGTTTTATACGGGGAGCCTCCGCCCAGAGGTTCAACCCCTTACCCGTTTGGATACCAGTTTGACAGAAAAGCTGCCCCTTTCGTATACGTTTTATTGAAAACGGTACCTCTTTCACATACCTACTTTAGAACATTCCACCCCTTTTCTAAACCCTTGGAATGATAGGAATAATATATTACGGGAGAATACCAAGCATTTAATACCGGAAGAGATGTGAACCAAAACACAAGTATTATTTGTTAAGTGCATGGCAGGAGTCAAGATACTTTGATTTCCCTACCCTTTCATGAAATCCCTACCCTTCAACATACCTAAAAGCCGCAAAGGTACCCCTTAACCCCTTTCAGGTGCTGCCTCCCCACATAGGCCATTATAGGGAGATTTAGTTGATTTATATCGCCATTAAGCGTCTTTTTAACAATATCTTTAACATTTGCATCATAGGGAGTACCCCACCCCTGGATTTTTAATCCCCCAATATATGACCCACTTCTTTTGCATTTTAGTGTTATCAGGTGCAAAAATCCTAGTTAAAAGACAAAATTCTTCTCCTACCCTCCACAAAAGCAAATAATTACTGATAAATATGTTCCTCAAAAATCTTTTGAGTGAAAAAAAAAAAAAAAAAAAAAAA